GGAGATCTTCGTTCCCCTCCCCCTCTCCTTAACACCTGTCTCTTATACACATCTAGATGTGTATAAGAGACAGGTGTGTGTGTGTGTGTATGTGTGTGTTATAAAACATCACCACAACTTCCCCTATTCCACCCAGATGAGTAGATCGAAAGTCATAGCAATTTTACCTGTATTGCAGACAATGAAGCATTCTCGAGATGAGCCAATCCACCAATGAAACAGTTTTGCTTGTGAAGTCAATATCTATTGAGAACCTTACCTTTAAACAAGGAAGGAATGTCACCTTTACATGTGTGTGTGTGTGTGTTGTCATATTCGCTATACACTCAAAAAAAGCATGACTGTACCAGACTGTTTCGTCGGACTTTCCCCGACTCATCAGGAGGTTGAACCCCGACAGTCTGCCCAGGATGCATTTGACTGATGGATAAGGACTCACCACATCACCCAGAGTTAGTGATACCCCTAAGAGAGAAAAGTGGTCGACTTTACTCACACCAACCTTGCAATCCTAGCAGGTCTGAACCTGGTCCAAATCCCTGACAAGAACGGTAGCAAGTCTGAGAAACCAATCTGACACAGTCATAAAACCCACTGAGGTGTGTGTGTGTGTGTGTGTGTGTGTGTGTGTGTGTGTGTGTGTGTGTGTGTGTGTGTGTGTGTGTGTGTGCGCGCGCGCTACCAGACCCATTATTCAGATTCCAATGTTATGGCGAAGAACGCAGGGACCTTTGCATCTTGAGGAATCAGTCCTTCTCCTCACTGAAATCTCCAACTAACCCACAGCCTGGTTATGAAAGAGTGTATAATACTAGAATAGTATATACACAACTAATTTGAAATTTTGAACAAAAGATAACTCTACATCTTCCCAAATTATCTCTTCCCCTCCCTCAGCTCTTTCACCCTGACTGCAACTTAACTTCACATGATGAATAAGTGAGGAAGATGGGTGGGTAGGTAGGTGAATCCATGAGTGAGTGAGTGAGCGAGATAGCGAGTGAGTGAACGAACAAATGAATGAATGTGTGCATGAATAATGTCCATCATACGTATGCTGACATCCGTATTTGTACATCTGTAGGTGTACAATCCGTATTGTGCAGCAATTAATTGTACGATACAGCCTTGGCTCATCCTCCGCCTCCGCGTTCCACTTCTCCTGCTTCCTCCTGAGGCCCCCCAATCTGCTCCTCCTGCCGTTCGTCGTCCTTCCCCTCTGCCTCCTCTGCTGCACCGTCCTCCTTCTCCCGCTCGTCGTTCTGCCCCTCCTCCCATTCCTCCTCGTACTTGTCCTGCTCACCCTCTTCCTCAGCCCGTTCCTCCTCCTCCTCCTCCTCCTCCTCCCACTCGCCGTCTTCCCCCTCCTCATTGCGCTCCTCCTCCTGCCACTCCTCGCGCTCGTCTCTGGACTCTTCCAGTCACCAGAAAATACTTTATGAGAGTACAGTCGATGCTCATTGTTCCAGCGCTCGTCTATGGGAGTACTGCCACTCCAGTGCTCGTCTATGGGAGTACTGCCACTCCTCCTAGCGCTCGTCTCTAGGATGGCATCCAGCGCTGGCCAGTCATTCTTAGATGAAATAATTCAATGGTAAGTTGGTGACCCCCACAAGCACAGACTAAACTCCCATAGCCTAACCCCTCTTCTTCCTTCTTTCTTTCTTTTTTTTTTTTCTTTTTTTTTTTCTTTTTTTTTTTTTTTAATTTGGACCATTTCTCGATTTATGCGTGCCATCCTTGCGCAGGGGCCATGCTAATCTTCTCTGTATCGTTCCTATTTTAACGGATAACGGAAACAGGGCCTCATGGTCCTGGCTCCAATCTATTCTGGGAACAAATCGCCTTCCTCTTTTCGTGTTGTCGGCAAGTAGCGCTCATCACTTTCAGTTCTTAATAACTTCTTCTTCTAGATGGCCTCAGAAATGTCCTCTACTACTTAACGCATTGTGTCTCTTCCACCCCCCCCCCCCCCCCCCCCCCCCCCCCCCCCCCCCGGCTCCTCTCTCTTTATGACCCTCACTGCAGGCTGTAGACATAGCTCCAGCTTCACAGAGTGAAACGCTAAACAGGAAAATGAGGAAAACAATAAAGCAGGCCAGCCCCGCCTACTTCCCGAACGAATGACGACGTTGGCCACTTCTACTACTTAGCTGAAACTTCAGTCAGAGTTCGGCGAGAGTTCGCCCCTCACCATCTTCGGACTTGGCGCAGTAAGGGTTACCGTTAGTGGTTTCCTTTTTGGGAAACAGTCCATGTCCATCTCCGGACTTGGCGCAGTAAGGGTTAGTGAGTGGTTTCCTTTCTGGGAAACAGTCCATGTCCAATCCACTGTCCTCTTTCCAGCTCAGAAATGGAGGCCACATTCCAGGACGCGCCACATGTGAAAATGGTAAACGTATCTTGCCACCTTCGAGGGCAAGATAAATTCGTTTTATTTGATTTTCCTCTCGATTTATGCATGTCATCCTTGTGCAGGGGCCAGGCTAATCTTCTCTGTATCATTCTAATTTTAACGGATGCCCCGATTGACTTTAAACTTTAAAGTTTAAATTCATTATGTTAACAGTTTTCACCGGTGGAAAAAGGCCTAATTTACTACTGCAGTGAATCAGAGTACTGAGGATAGGGCCTTTGCACTCTTCCCGTTATTGCGCAGTGAGTGGCTGCGACAGGCAACAACTTGTGCAATAATAATACGAAAGGAAAAGAATTTAAAGAAACCAAAACAGCGACGCTGGACCCGGTTTCCAGCCTTGAGCCGAATCTGGGTAATCTCACTCCAGCATTCCGGGTCGAGATGTGGAGGGAATCCCGGTCTCCTTGATTTGCGTTACAAAGCAAACTCTCCACTGCCGGGTCAGGCATGGGATGCCATGGAAGTGCTGAATCCGGTAGCTGTCACGCCCGCCCACGTCCACAATGGGCCGCCTTTCCAGCCTTCAAGAGAGGTGCAATCCCCCCTGATGCCCGCCCAAATGTCGCCCCCCGCACAGTCGGCCTCTTCCCCGGGTACACGGTCCCCCCCTCCCCCACTGCCGTCATGCCCCTCGCCTCTTACCCCACATCCGCCGCCTTTGTCCCCGCCGAGAGTCTCTCTCCGGCCCACCTCTTCCTCCTGTCCCCGCTGCTTGACCGCTTCGGGTACACTGCAATCCTCCCTGCCACCTTCGCCTCCGCTCGATTCCCCACCCCTGACACCATCTCCACCTCCTCCGCTTCCTCCACGTTCTCCACCCGATATCCYCCCCCCCCCCCCCCCCCCCCACCCTGAATATTTGACAGCACCTATTGCGACGTGCCTAGGATTACAATGACGCCTGCAACGCCTTCAGGCAGACAGCAGCTTATTACGCAATGGGGGGGAAAGGAAGGACCTGAAAGTACAAAGGGGGGCAGAAGATCGCGGGGAAGGGACCAAGTTGGCATACAGGAGAGACAAAGAAGTCCGCACAGACAGAAAGCTTCATACCGTACGCCGGACTACTACACAGCAACGACCTCGGTGTGGCACTGCACTGTCGGAAAGTACCTCTGCCCGGCAGCGGGGGCGAGGAAGGGGATACAACAGAATGTAACACATGGACTACAGCTGGGGAACTGGTTCTGGCCGTACAGCGGGTGCGACAAAGGGGATAAACAGAGTCTAACAGAAGGAGTACTGCTGAGGAACTGGCTATGCTCCTACAGTGCGTGCGAGGAAGGGGATAAAATGAAGTGTAACGTTGGATGTGGTGAAGGGGGCCAAAGGAGGCTAATGTATATGGCGTTGGGGTACACTGGTCCTCCAGCAGCACGGAGGCCAACTGCTGTGTACTTTACTGCCAAAAACGGATGGTGTTCGCTCGTGTGTAAAGCATGGTAGACACGTGGCATGAGAAGTTTCTGCTAGTATGCTGTCTTCATCACAATTTTGCCTGGGTAATCAATAATGACTGCCCAGACTGATGTATGGTGGGACGCTGGACTGCTCAGTCAATCCTCTGGTCTCCAGAGTAATCAATGCTGGCAGGACTCTAACATAACCCTTTCTCTAACACATTTCAATTTCAATCTGTATTTGGGACGCTGGACCCGTTTTCCAGCAGGTGTTGCTCCCCACCAATAGATGGAGCCTCCCCTCAGGTGTTAGCGGTGTCTGTTCTAACCAGCACCACTAACACTGAAAGGGGCGTTTTCCGGAAAAAAAAAAAAAAAAAAAAAAAAAAAAAAAAAAAAAACAAACCCCCCCCCCCCCCCCCCCCCCCCCAAAAAAAAAAAAAAAGTTCAAAGAACAGAACACAAAGAGCAGCGCACGACAAAGACATCGAACACAGAACTGCTTACGGTGAACAAGATAGAGTAGGCTGCGCATGTCGATCGTGTGATTCATCTTCGCATTATTTGGCCTTCAGAGCTCTCCTACCAAGTTCCTTGATATTTGAGTTTTCGCTTTCCCCCTCCTAAGGACCCCTTTGCTCTCCCTGCTTTATACTGAATCACACATCACTCTCGCATTGCTTGGGCTTCTGAGCTCTTTTCTACCAAGTTCCTTGAGGTTTGAGCTCTTGCATTCCCCCCTGTGCTCTCCCTACTCTATCCTGAATCACTCATGTTGCTCCAGCGACCTCATCGCTCAAGTTGATTGGCCTTCTGAGCTCTCCTACCAAGCTGCTGCATCATACTGCCATGCCTTTCTTGGCCTCGCCTGCTTTGGTGCTACCCTAAACCCTAAACCCTAAACCCTGCCAGGTGGAAGGCGATTGGCGATGATGACTGGGATTGGCGGTTCACATATGTAGTGGGGGCATCGACCTGTCAGCCGCGTGTCATTATCTTCGTTAGGCCTATCTCGGGGGGATAGTGTGCCTTAAGGGAGTGGGGTGAAGTCTGGGAAGGCGTATGGATGTTGTTCCCATGGTAGAATTACAGCTATCATTTCATTGGGGGCGCCTTGGCTATGCTTACATCTTCTTCCCTTAGGGAGTTCCTAAGGTGAGCAGGGTGTCAGTCGATCCTTCCGCCATGGAAGTTATCAATCTTGACGCCGTTGACGGTTGTGTGTTTAGCAGGTAGGAAAAGAAAGCTCAGGTACATCCAAGGGGGATCCCAAGCAGCTAAAACGGTGACATTTTCAGGGCCAAACAAGTGGGTTTTGATTTCATTCAAAAAATATAAAATGTCCGTTTTAACGAAATCGCTTTTAAAATGTCATCAAAACATTACAATTCATGTAGAAAAAAATAAGCGCATCATGCAAGGCTTTGCTCTCGCAGAGGGCATAAATAATTTGCAATGCTGACTACTTCCGTCTTCACCTAAATAGAACGTCCAGTCATTATCGCTGCATCTGGACCGAAAGTCGCCCCAAATTCCGCTGTAATAACCAGGCGTTCTATTCCGGTGACGACGGTACGACGATCGATGATCATCCCAGCTAGCGCCAGTCAGAATCGTTGAGACATGTGTCCGATCACACAAACAACCTCACATTTCTTTAAATCACAAAGCAATCAACAAAGGTATTATGTATTAGGCGGTGGGGCACAATCGAAATCGTAAGCTGTCTGTCATCAAAGCCTGACACATTAGTACAGTGTCAATCATAGTCAAGACACTTGTCCAATCACGGAAGGAAGCACCTCGGAAACTGCCAATCAACCAACCAATCAAGACGTATCAGGCAGTGGCGGATGTGTAATCAAAACAAGACACGTGTCTAATCATGGAAGCAACCTGGAAACCGCCAAGCCATCAACTAATCTAGATTCTAGATTCTAGACGCATCAGGTTGTGGCGGATGTGTAATCGAAACAAAAAGCTGTTATCAAAGCACAACAAAGCACCAATCATAGTCACTCAAGCCAGATGTCCAATCACATTAGCACTTTGGAATCGCCAAGCAATCAAAAAACTATGTATCAAAATTACTATCAATTAGTAATATTAGTATCAATCCTATCAAAGCAATCAAGGTAAAATCACAAAGTGATCAAGTTGAATCAACAAATGTGTGCACGCACCGCCAGAATTGGTTGGAGAAGAAGAGAAGTAGAACTCTGGCAACTTGAATTGTATGTGATGTGGGGATCAGGATGTTGGTCAAATTGACAGCGCACACTCGGGAATCGGGATGACCTTAGAAGAAGAAGAAATTCGGAAATTTTGAAAATAGATGACGCTGAGTCAGGGGACGCTGGACCCCCTTTCCAGCAGGTGATAGCTCCCCACCAATAGTAGAATGGAGCCCCCTGCAAGACATGGGTAGGAGTGCATGCTCTTATCATCAGTCCTATCTGTTGAAGCGGGTTTCCAGAAGAAAAAAAAAAAGATGACACCGATCACTCTCCTTGGAGAGCAGTGGCACTAGAGAGGTCTCAGAGAACTTGAATTGTATGTGATGTGGGGGACAGCGGAGACTCGTGATGACGATTAGAAGGAAGGAAAATTTCGGAAAAAATGAAAATGGATGATACCGATCGCAGGCCTTGGAGACCGCTGGCATGAAGGAGGTAGCAGAGGATCCCATGGTCTCAGAGAACTTGAAACACTTATTAAACCACCAGTACCTTTCTCAGCTATCGATGCCGAGCCTAGAACTGCCCTGCGCGCCAAAACAAAAACGAACCGGCGCGGGGGTCATTTTGGCTGGCGCAACCAGCCACATTTCGCGTGGGTAGTCCCGAGCCTGCCCGCCTCCCGTGTTAACCGACGCGGGCATTTGTTTTTCAAGCAGGGAAAGGTACTGGTGGCTTAACTCCATATGCGCATGATGCATCTCTGTTAATATCTGCATTCTGTTTTGTGTTCTTCTCTTCCTTCCGCCCTCTGTTGGCGACTCCCTACCCACTCCATGTTTGGCTGTACCCACTCCACTGCGAGCAAAGCAACAGCGGTCCGACTTTTTGTATATAGGTAGAGGGGCAAATGTGCAAAGCATGGAGGAGCTGCTAAGAACTTGGAAGTGCAAAAATAAAATTAAAAGAAAGAACAAGGACATGTATGAAAAAGTTGAAAAAGATGAATACTTTAATACTTTACTTTGTCAAACTTGCGTCTGGCCATCCTCAGCTTCCGCATGTCTTTGATCCTCTTGTACTCAAGCAGTGCCCACAGTTTCTCCCGCTGAGACAGCTTGCGCTCAAGCAAGGGTTTAAGCAGAAGGGTCTCCACCTCCTCTTCCCTCCTCTGGCGCTTCCTTTGCATGCGTGCAAATAGCCATTCCAAACGCTCCTCCTGCTTTCTGGAAACAGCAAAGGAAACCCAGAGGCGAGACGGTTTATTTTTCAGCCAAAATCGGTCGATCAAGAGGCTGAAAAGAAGAAGAAAGAAAACATTGGCACGATACAGGAGAAGATTAGTATGGGCCCTGCGCCAAGACTGGTTTTCAAAAAAAAAAAAAAAAAAAGGTATGGCCCCTGCGCTGCGCAAGTATGACACAACGAGTGTTCAGCTCTTCGCTGCATGCTTGCGTATGCATGCAAAACGAGAGATGATCTACAAAGAGAAATTCCTTTGACTACCGTTAGTCGGAGGGGAAATTTTTTTTTTTTATTTTTTTTTTTTTTTTTTTTTTTTTTTTAAAGAAAGGGCCCAGTGCCCAAGGCTGATATTACCAATGAAAACTGCTTGAGGCCGGGGTCCTCACAGTCTACCCTCTAGACAATTTACATAACTTAGCGCGAAAGGAGGGAGAAGAAGACAATTACAGTTTGCCGCCGAAGACGTAAAGGGGAGGCGGAAGGAATGCACAAGGAAAGATTGCATGCAAGAGCGCGGGCGCGGAGATCCATTCGTGGAAAATGTAAAGGCAACAAAACAGTTACTGGCAAAATGCCAAGCTGAGCCTAATTCCTACAGCCAATTTGGGGTCGAAAAGTCGAAAAAGAAATTTTGATTGCTGCTTGCTAAGGCACGCGAAAATTCTGTCTATTCCTATCTTCTTCTTCTTCTACTCAAGAATGAACATCCACACAAATTGCGAGGGTATTTCCGAAATTGCAAAAAGAAATATGAACTCAGCGGATAAATCGTCGCAAAGCAACCCATGCCCCTGATTCCAACTGTTTTCACGTCCATAGCGTTTTTTTAACTTTTTTTCCTTTTCTTTTTCCGTTTTTCATTTTCGCAAGCACCTGCCGTGATGACCGCTTCTCTGTAACGTCCTGACTGAGGGCGTACTCTCACATGTACTCCAATTTCCGTGTTGTTCATAGCGTAGAATTCTCTCTCTTTTCTTTTCTTTTTGTCCATTTTTTGAAAGTAACTGTTGTGATGAAATAAGTTTGTATCAACAGTTAGGGAGCTGGCGG